CAAATCCGAAAAATCCGCGCGGAGCTGCCAACGTTTACGTGTAGGTTTCTTTGGTTCTGCTTCGAGTATGGCTGTCTTGACAAGGAGGAACTTTTCAAGGAGGAGGCGTTGACGACGTAACATGACCACAACGACAGCGGCAGCAACAACGACGACGATGACGACGACGACAACGACGAGGCGTGCCCTTCACAGCGTGGGCGCGTGCGCGCGCCCCTCGGCGAGGCCCGAGGAGGGGGGGGGGCCTTCGGCGAGGCCCGAAGAGGGACGGAGGCCCTCCGCCGAGGCTCTGCGAGGGGGGGGGGGGGCTTCGGCGAGGCCCTGGGAGGAGGGGGAGGGGAGGGAGCTCCCTCGGCGAGGCCCTCGGAGGGGGGGGAAGGGGGCCTGGAGCGCCCCGCAGGGGCCCGCCCTCCTCCTGCTGCCCCCCCCCCCCCCTCCCGCCCGAGCTGAGCCGAGGCGCGGCGATCGGGATCCGAGAGCTGCACCTGAGACGTGCCTGGCCTCCCGTGTGATGAGCACCCCACAGCCATCGAGCGTACTGTGCACGCGGGAGGGAGGGGGCATGGAGTCTGGACTCCCCTCGGAGTGTCCTGCACACTCGGGGATCCCACACGAGTCGGAGTCGGAGGAGGAGGAGGAGGAGGAGGAGGACGAGGACGAGGACGAGGGGGAGGAGGAGGAGGAGGAGGAGGGGGGGGAGGAGGAGGAGGGGGAGGAGGAGGAGGGGGAGGGGGAGGGGGAAGGAGGCGGTGGAGGAGGAGGAGGAGGACGAGGACACGAGCACAGGAGGGGGGGAAACGAACGACGATGCGGCAGCGGAGAAGACGCCGACGGGGCGGGGGCAGCGCGCCGAGACGGGCCCCGTGGGCGGCCAAAGGGCGGCCCAGGAGCGCGATGTGGGCCCCAATCAAACATAGTAAACTCATTGTCCCCAGACTATTCTTTCCCTGTCTTTGAATACCTCCTGTAGCGGGACATGCCCGACCGAGTCACAGGGGAACGCACCATGACATAAACATCAAAACTCGGATGTCCCTCCTCTCACATCCAGCAACCCCTTTTCCTCCTCCTCCCTCCTCCTGCTCCTGCTCCTGCTCCTCCTCCTCCTCCTTTCCCTCCCTCTCTTCTCGCTCACCTCTCCCCCTCATGATAATCGGTGATCCCTGCTCCTCGCTCCTAAGGCCTAATACTCCTCCTGCACCGTCTCCCCTCCATCCTGCTCACCTCCTTTCCCCTGCACCTCCACCATCTTTCTGCCCCCGCCTTGCCGAGCTTGCCCGACATGCACGCCGTCTTGGTGCCGACGCTGCTGTCCTGGCGTGGGCAGGATCGAGACGATGGATGGCGAGGGTCCTCTCTCCTTCCTCATCTCCTCCCTCCTCTCGGCTGCGCGCATGAGGGGCCCCGATTAGGCAAGAGCGACCTTTGGTGCGCGGCTTTGGGGGGCTGCCAGAGGGAGGGGGGGGGGACGCAAGCGCGCAAGCGCGTGCGTGCTGGGGGGGACCGCTGTGGCGAGGGACAACGGTCGGGGGGGGACCAACGCAAAGGGGGAAACATCGACCCGGACTCGGCGATCCGTCGCCGTTAGATCGGCGACAGGCCGGCCCCTGAGAGCGAAACCGCACGTTCCTGGGCAGCAGGTGCTCTCAGGCCCTCGTCGGCGATGAGTGGGCGATTGGGGGTCGACGCGTTCCCCCTGAGCTATCGCCCCTTTGACACTGTCCCTGATGTCTCGGACATCCGATGTCTTGATCTCTTTCCATGTGGGGTCCCCCGAAATCCAGACCCTTTCTCCAAGGCTGGTATTATATCCCCAGACGCTTTTTGACGGTCCCAAGGCTGGGCCAAGGCCCCCAAAATGGGCCGAAAACGGCCAAACACCTCCGTCGCGATTTATCCGCGACGAGAACATGTCAACTCCGCATAGTAGGTGAAGCGGCAAAAGCCTAAAGCGGCCGAAGAGGGAAAGCGGAGGATGGCTCTTGCCGCCTTCGTTATTTTCTCGCGCTGAAGACGCTTCGTGTTTTCGCGCTGACGCGAGCATGTCTGGGGTGGGGGCAATGCTGGCGCGAAGCACAGCTCCCCGGCGCAACCGAGACCCTCTTCCCCGCTGTGCAGCTGGCGGGCTCCCCCGCCAATCGGGGATCTACGGGTCAATACAGACCTGGGTCAGTCAGGCCCTGCAGGATCCCGCTAGATTTAGGTCGGGCATGTCCCCCTACAGGCGGATGCGGGACGAAAAATAACAGGTCCGCGAAAATCCAAACATACTTTAACCTGGTCAAACAATCATCCCCAGACTGTTTCCCCAATCAGAGCTTGCCTCTGTAGGGGTCCTAGCGGATTCATGTGGTTAGATGAAATTCGTCGCCGATTTCGGTGGCCGGCCCAGGTGCCCGGTAGCCCTATAGCCCTATAGCCCTATAGCCCTATAGCCTTATAGCCCTATAGCCCTATAGCCCCATAGCCCTATAGCCCTATGGCCCTGTAGCCCTAATAG